GAGAGAGAGAGAGAGAGAGAGAGAGAGAGAGAGAGAGAGAGAGAGAGAGAGAGAGAGAGAGAGAGAGAGAGAGAGAGAGAGAGAGAGAGAAAGGGCAAATGGATGGATGGAGGAGACAAAGAGAGCGTTGAGATAAAGAGACGAGGGAGGGAGGGAAGGAGGCAGGGAGCGAGGAGAGAAAAAGATAAGGGAGGGAGGGAGGGAGGGAGGGAGGGAGGGAGGGAGAAGACAGAGAAAAATGGAAACACGGTTTTTAAGAAAGAAAGTGAAAACCAGATTAGATGGCAGCTCTCACCACTTTCTTCCAGGGAACACCAAACCAGGCAGCAATCAGCCGCAGGGCCACCCTGGCCCTTGCATCATAACCACGACAAGGAACCGTCTCCGAAGAATCATGGACGGAATCATCCGCTACGCACACTTGCACCAACTCCAATAGCATGTCTATTCTCCTGAGACCGCGAGGGAGACGTAACTGTATCCTTGCCCGTCCAGCTGCCGCCCTAGACGAACTCGACGGTCCAGTTTCTGTTGACATCATCGAAGAAGTTGAAGGGAACATTGCTAGCCCCCCCTCCCGACTGCCTTCCCCTTCGTTCTGCCGGTCATCTATGTCAGTTGGGCGATTACTGATCGCCATTGCTGTTGACGTTATCGGAGGAGGCGGTTGTGATCTTACACACCCGCTTTGGTCTCTGACGTCGTGATCACCATCACCGCTCTCCCTTCCACTTTCCTTTATCTCCTTGTCGTCAGCCTTTTCAAAAGACACAGGGTCTGCAAAAGACCTGCAAGGCAAGCAATCAGTCGCTTGCACCGCAGCGCCATCCTGCCCCTGGCGTTTTACGTCAGCATCCACTGTTGCGGAGGCATGAGACGCACCGCTTTTGCTACCCGACCGGTCTTCGTTGCACCAGTTTGACGCACTCAATGGCTCCTCGCATCCCTCGTTGTCCGACTTCTCTGTTCCATTCCACTCCAAGGACCCAGTGCGATCGGCACCCTTCTTCTCATCCTCCTCCTCCTCCTCCTCACCCTCACTTTCATCCCCCTCAGACAGTATATTTAGGAACTGCAACATTCAAGTTTGAAACAACAACACCCATCACACATACGAACACGCACACACAAACACCCACATCAGCCCCCATGCACACCCACATCAGCCCCCATGCACACCCACATAGCCCACGCACAAACACACTTTCGCCCGGGTGATTTTTTAAGCACAGCTAGGATTCGACCTGTACTAGCAGGCTGCTTTGCTTTGCTTGGCTTGGCTTCGCTTGGCTTTGCTTTGCTTTGAATATGGCATGCAGGCAGGCCGAAAGCGATACGTAAATAAGAGTAAATGTCGATGTGTAATTGTGAACTAGAATCAAAATTCGATTTTACCTGTAGTCAGTATTTTCCAAGTTCAGTCATTCAGGACATCCGTTAAAATTGGAACGATACAGAGAACGACGATTAGCATGGCCCATGCGCAACTATGACGCACATAAATTGAGTACTGTCCAAGTTCACGACTGCAAAAAAAAAAAAAAAAAAAATACTTTGTAATTAGTATTTCAAAAAAAAAAAAAAAAAAAAAAAAAAAAGTATTCCAAGTTGGTAAACAATGATCGCTGCTAATCAATTTACTATTTACTGCTAAAAAAGGTGCAAAACAACGCCTGTCTATGGCGCGAACGCTTGACTTCCAAGTTCAAAGCCACCACACCTGCGCAGAACAGAGAATTCATAAGCGGACAACCCAATTGTGAGGAGGGAGAGCAGAACGGCAACAGCAGATCAAACTATGAGAGAACAGAGAAGAGAAGAGAAGAGAAGAGGAGGCACGGCGGGGAGAGGAGAGGAGAGGAGAAGAGAAGAGAGAAGAGAGAAGAGAGGAGAGAAGAGAGAAGAGAGAAGAGAGAAGAGAGAAGAGAGAAGAGAGAAGAGAGAAGAGAGAAGAGAGAAGAGAGGAGAGAAGAGAGAAGAGAGAAGAGAGAAGAGAGAGAAGAAGAGAGAAGAAAGAGAGTACTGCAAGCAACAAATTGGAGTAGGACTTGTGCTAGTGGCTTACCGCACACAAATGGAGCTCAGCGTCACCGGAGGCAGCAGTACGTACAAGTCCTGGCCATGCCTTAGGATCCACGTCAAGAGATCTACTCATACAAAACAAAGAAACAAGAGAAGCAAGAAAGGCCCTCACGCCCCCAAGCCTCCCACCTTTCTAACCCCACCTTTCTAACCCCACCGTTCGTGCCCCTCCCCACCCTTCCCATGCCCTCCCACCCCCAAACCAGTGCGTAGTAACCCAAGCAAACGCCAAATTAAAATGAAGCCATAGATTTGTAGATTTGCTACAGAGCTCTTTAGAACAAAGTGAACACAATGGCAGCCCTGCCTACCTGGGCATTAGGTCAACTGACGTTACACCTGATGGAAAAAAAGGTACAAGGCATGGAATACCCACAGACACTGATTGATGAGTTGAGGATGGAGTTTGAGACCTGTGGCAAAGGAGGAGGAAAAGGAGGAGGAGGAGTTCCTCTCTATTCTATTGAAAAGAAGCTAGTTCTCGATCTTTGTTTGCCCTCCTTACATTGCACAATGCATGGTGATCTCTCTCTCTCTCTCTCTCTCTCTCTCTCTCTCTCTCTCTCTCTCTCTCTCT